CATCCTGGCCTGCTGTGAGGGATGAGAGGGGCAGGGGCAGACTCAGAGCCCTCACCTGAAGAACTTGGACACGCGAGCCAGGGCTCTCTGGAACCCACCCTTCCAGGTCCTTCTGGGAGGAGCAGCCTCCCTGGCTCCTCTTGGGTCACAGAATACGTTCCCCATGGTGTGAGCAAAGGCCACCCCTTCCGGGGAGTATTGTTGGCTTCTCAGAGTCTGAAAAAGAGAGTTGAGGCCTCATCTTTGCGGCCCCTCATGGGTGCTGTCTATCACCCCATTGGGCTACTGTGATGTGCACTGCTGGTTGAGGTGCTGAGGATGGAGAAATGGGGAGACCTGCCCTGACCACACCCAGCCCCCCGGAGGATGTTCCCGACCACATGGAAGTGAAACTCACCTGCCCAGGAGGTGGGAAGAAGGGCATGAAGACCATGCTTCCAAGAGAGTGTGTAATGCACCAGTGACACCCCCTCCAGGACTTCTTTGCACATACCTGAGCTCCCCCCTAGGCTGGGTGCAGAGGTGGAGGCCTGCCCCCTGCGTTGGCCTAAGCCCCGCCCCTCCATGGCCCTAAGCCCTATTGCTTCTTCCTTGGTTCCGCCCTGCTTCAGTTCAGTACCTGGTGCTCAACCAGTGGATACATTTCTGGTGTGTGGCCTGCGTCCCAACTCCCGCCCCTCAGAACTCTCTTTGTTTCTTCCTTTGCTTTTTATCTTCACTCTGGCCAGCTCAGCAGCCCGAAAGCAAGTTGTGCTGGCTGAACTGAAAATGCAGAGGCCTTCGGTTATACGGTGAGTTCTCCTTCCGTGGGGTTTCCACGGACAAAAGAGCCCACGAGGCCTGTCTGTGGTAGCCGCACTGAGTTAGGACTGAGATGTTTCTCATGGCCCTCACAAGGTGCACGGTCCAGATGGTTCATAAAAGCCGAGAACAAGGGCTGGGCATGGCGCCCTGAGGCCAGAAGGCCTGGACCTAGTGTTTCTCTGTGAGGGCTTGCTCTGCACAGGTCACCCGCATGTCTGCTCCTGCGTGCTTCTGGTGACCGATGGAAAGTATTCGGCGGCCTGGACAGCTTCTACAGTGTGCAGGACAGTCGTCAGGGCTCCAGACATGGGTTTTTCCATTTAGCACTTTACACTTAGAATCGTGATTGTTACGAGTTATGTCTTGCAAGTTGTTGGAGCCATTGACCTTTGTTTGCTTTTTTTCCTTAAGGGCATCCACTTCTTTCTCTGTGCCATTTCCTGATGTAATTATCGTAGAGCCCTGTTGGGCTGTTCGTGGCCTTCCCTTGATTTCAGTGTCTGCCCTGTCCTAAGGTGACTCCGTGCCTTGCTGCTTACCACCATGTTGTGGGATGATGGCGAATTTCCAGAGTTCAGTCCTCCATCTTGTCCTCATCCAAATGTCGTTAGCCATGTTGTGTCGTATGCATTGCTAGAGAACTTTGAGCAATAACTTTTCCTTTTATTGATGATTACAGAGTGGAAATCCTGACCTTTTGAATGTTTTGATCAGTGAGCACAGTGTACTTTTTTATTTTAATTTCTCTTTGCAGGATTTTAATTGTTTCCTCTAAACAAACCTTTCAGTGATTGTGCCAGTATTCTTAACAGATATTTCCTTTATTTCAATGTTATCGAAGATGTCATTTAAAACACTTCTCCATTTGTATATTCGTTTCTAGTTTATTGGCATAGAGTGGCTTTTTGCCCACTAACTTATCTTCTAACTTTCCCCAAATCATTTCTGAAAACTAGGTGATGACTTTTTTCTGGAATATGGAGTATTTCCTATGTAAAATATTAAAAATTATTCTTTGAAAATTTTATACAATGTACCTATCATATTCTTTCCCTTCCCTACCTCCTCTCAGATTTCCCCCCCCCAGATTCCCCCTTCCTCATTTCCCTTCTTCATGCCTTTGTTTACATTTTTTGCCTGACTGAAGCAGTTATGGTCTCAAGTGTAATGCTGTGTGCATATGGTGAGAATCTGGAGACACATTCTGCCACATTTCTAAAATACTCACGGGAAATTTCTGTCTCTCCATTATCAGGTGCTTTCTGTCACACATACATCCTAGACCGAACTTGAGGGTACAAGTGAGATCATTTGGGGGGAGGGGAAAGTAACGGAGGAAAACAGAGACAAGTGTCGGGTATTCTGTGCATGTGGAGAAGAATCTAGCTTGTCGGGTATTCTACGCATGTGGAGAAGAATCTAGCTTGTCGGGTATTCTGTGCATGTGGAGAATCTACCTTCAGCTGGAAATGTGTGTAAGTGTGTACATGATGTGAAAGACAAGGTCCTTTTATGTGCAGGAAGGGGGCTGGATGGACAGGGAACAACAGAGGGTAAAGGTGGTGGCGGCTCCCTGGTTATGAGAACCTGCTGCTCTAGCAGAGAATCTAGGTTCAATTCCCAGAACCCACATAGTGGTTTATAACCACCTGTAACTCCAGTTCCAGGGAATCCGATGTCCTCTTCTGACCTCTGCAGGCACCAAACATATGGTGCAATACACACAGGCAGGTAGAGTATACACACACATGAACATAAATAAATAAATCTAAGAAAATTTAATATTAAAATAGTTTTGCATTACTAGAGTAAACTGTGCTTGTGAATGAATATTTTTTATACACTGATTGAAACTGCTAGAATTTCATCAGAGAGGTTTGCATCCAAGTTCATGAGAAATACTTGTCTGTAATACTTCCTGTGCTGTTTTCTATTTTTAATAATTTATATTAATTCTTTGAGAATTTCATGCAATGCATTTTGATCACATTTACCCCAGACTCCTCCCGTTAGCTCCTTCCAAAATCACTCCTACCTCCTTAACTTTCTATCTTTTATTTTGTTAGATTTACTGTTAATATATATGTATGTGGGGCTCTATGCCCGTGTCTGCTGGTGTTCAAGAAGGCCAAAAGAAGATGCTGGATCCCCTGCAGCTGGAGTTCTGGGTTATGAACAACTTCCCGTTGTGAATGCTGGAATCTGAACTTGAGTCCTCTGCAAAAGCAGTGCGCATTCTTAACTGCTGAGCCATCTCTCCAGTGCTATCTTTAAAAAAAAAAAAATTAGTAACCCATTGACTCCAATTCGTGCTCTCCACATACTTCTGGGTATAGGGTCATCTACTTGAGTGTGCTCAACCTTCAGTAGCCACACCCTTAAAAGAGATTCTGACTCTCCCCTTCCCAGAAGCCATCAACTGCCCCTAAGTCGTCAGTTACAGGTTGGGGGCTCCTGAACCCCTTCCCACTTCATAGCAGAATGCTGACTTTCTTTTGTGCAGGTCTTGAACAGGCAGCCACAGCTACTGTGAGTTCAGGAGTGCAGCGGCCTGTCATGCCTTGATGACATTGTTTCATCCCTGTCCATCACCAGCGCGGGGTCTTACAATGTTTTCTCCCCCTCCTCCAGGATAGCCTTGGGTGGGTGGGTGACATGGATGTCCCATTTGTGGCCTAGCACTCCATAATCACTTGTTCTCTTCACCGTGGCTGGTTACGGGATTCTTAGTTAGCAGCCACCATTCACTGCTCAGTGACAGACACTCCACTGATGATGTCTGGGAGCTGCACTAATCTATGGGTAGAAATGCGCAAATTTAGAGAGCAAGTGCTACTGTCAATTTAGTAAAATAATCATGGTAGATTTACCTCTGAGACTTTCTTTGAGTTCCCCAACCATGAGTTCTTGGCCAGATTTGCAGGCCTTAAATCCAACTAGACAGCAGTTTCTCCCCCATAAATTTTTTCACTCTTGTAGTCAGCGACCTCTCTTGCCATGGTGGTCATTATTGCAGTTCCCAGGATTCACATTTTCCTCTCAGCAACCTGCATCTTGCCTTCTAGTACGGTTAGAGCTAGCAAGCAGAGAGGAAGATTACAGGCCAGCTTCCCGTCTCACTACAGGTGATCTGGGATTTCCTTTGCAGGCCTTTCTTTGGGCCCAGAGGATCAAGCTCTGGTTGTCAGGCTTGACTAGCAAGCATTTTTCCTTGATGAGCCATCTCCTGGGCCCAAATTTAAAAATTGAAAGTATATTAAAATTATTATTACTACTACTACTACCACCACTACTACAGTGTGTGTAAGCGTGCACATGTGCGTGCGTGCGTGCGTGCGTGCGTGCGTGCATTTGTGCGTGTGTGTATACATACAAGGGTGTGCATGTGCCGGGGCATGCATGTGGAGGTCAAAGAACAGCTTTCAGGAGTCAGTCCTTCCCTTCCTCTTTGAGATCTGGGGAATGAACTTGGAACTTGAGGCCTTTCCCCACTGAGCTATCCTGCCCCCTTTACCATAAACGTAATGTTAACGTCATAAAATGAATGGAGAAGTATGCTCTGCTTTATTTTCTGAAAACATTCTTGACATATTGCTCAAATTTTTCTTGAATTATCAGATATTATTCCCTAGTGAAATCATTTAGGGGAGAGATTTTTGCTTTATGAGGATATTTTCAGTTCTGAACTCAGTTTTTAAAAACTTAAAACATTTAAAAGATGTATTTTGGCCAGGCAGTGGTGGTGCACACCTTTAATCCCAGCACTCAGGAGGCAGAGGCAGGTGGATCTCTGTGAGTTCGAGGCCAGCCTGGTCTACAAAGTGAGTTCCAGAACAGCCAGGACTACACAGAGAAGCCCTGTCTTGAAAAACCAAAAGAAAAAAAGAAAAGAAAAGCGGGCAGTGGTGGCTCACACCTTTGATCCCAGCACCCAGGAGGCAGAGGCAGGCAGATCTCTGTGAGTTCAAGGCCAGCCTGGGCTACCGAGTGAGTTCCAGGAAAGGCGCAAAGCTACACAGAGAAACCCTGTCTCGGAAAAAGAAAAGAAAAAAAGAAAGAAAGAAAAGATGTGTTTTGTGTACCATGTGCATGTGGTGCTCATGGAGGCCAGAAGAGGATGTTGGATCACCTAGAACAGGAGTTAACTGAAGGTTATGAGACACCATGTGGGTGCTGTAATTGAACCTGTGATCTCTGAAATAGCAGCAAGTGCTCTTAACTGCTAGGCCATCTGTCCTGCCCCTTTAAAAAAATTAATGACCCCCTTTACTTTAAAGTGGTCTTTAGAAACAATTATCATTTAATTATACAGTTAACCAAAAGACTGTTATTTAAAACCTATCCAGATTTTGATACCTTTGTTGACAATCTCTGAGCACTGCTGCTTTTTCTTGGGTCATGGATATTCTGCCCTTGACCTCTTGCCTTCAAGTATAGCTCAGTCTGTAATCACTTGGCATCTTACTGGGCCTTGTGTACCCTGAACTGCTTTGTATGACTTCCAGTGTGGGATGCGGACAGTGCCTCTATTTTCTGTCTGAATCTGAGTGAGTCAAGCAGGGCGTCCCCAAGGGCAGCCTGCTGACAGGCTAGTGACGTGGATCATAGGGCAGTTTTAAAATTTGTACTTTTCGGGTGATTCTCCCTACAGTTTTCTATACTGGGTATACTAATTTCTGCTTACTGCTTCCGTTCTCTCTGGGTGTGTAAGCCATGAGTTCTTGCTGTCTTGCCTGCCTAGGCTGCCCTCTAGCTCCCGTGCTCAAGACAACTTCAGGACTCGGCCTTTTTATTTTCTGGGACTACAGGTCTCCCTGATTTCCATTAAGTTCCTGTTAATGTCTGTAGAATTTATTTTGATATCCATACTTTACATTTTGATTAACCTTATCTTCTTCAAGGCTTATTAACATTTTTTAGAGAGCAGCTACCCTAGTGGAATAAATCGGTCCCTCCGTGTGGCTTTGATTTTCATTTCTTCACTGATTATTGCCTCTGAGAATCTTTTCACTTTGCTATTTGTATGCTTCAAAGAAATGTCTGTTTCTGTCCTTTGCTTAAATTTCATGTAGGTTTTTGTACTGTTGAGTTGTACTTTTTTTTTTTGTTTGTTTTGAGATATTGTCTTCCTAGTTAACCCAGTTTGGTCTCAAACTTCTGATCCTCCTACCTCAGCCTCTTGAGTACTGGGATCAAAGGCTTTATATCACCTCTGATTCAGAAGAATAGCATGATTTTTTATGAGAAGCAAGATTGTAGTCAATATAAAGAGGGAATCAAGGTGATAATCAAGATTAAGGTTAAATGAGAGAACAACCTTAATGGAAACTTAAGGGAAATAGGGAATTCATGAGACTACTGGCTGAGAGCATGGGGCATAAAATTCCATCCTGGCAGTGAATGAATGAAGGCCATGAGGAAGACAATTAATGATGCAACAGTAGTGATTTTTGAAGATGCAGGGCTGGCTATCTGTGCCTGAAAATGGATTGTGGGGAGTGAAGGTAAGCAGAAAAACCCATTATTAGGTTGAACTTCTATGGGACTGTGAAGAGCTTCGTACATGTGGGACTTCTGGGAAGGAGGTGGTTTAAGAAGGGCTAGGTAAAACTTGAGAAAAACACAGGGAAATGAGGGAGTGAAAACTTATTCCAGCAGTGAGCAAAAAGGAGGGAAAAGTCCCAGTCACTGAAGATGTAGTTTTATAGGTTCAGGGGAAGTAACCTGGAGATGGGGGATCCAGGTGCTCTTCTGACCTCCACTCCTGACCCTAAAGCAGTGGAACACAGAACACAGGTACCTGCTGTACCCTGCTGCTCTTCCCGCTGCACATGGAACAGCGGGCATGAGACTGGAGCTCCCCGGGAAAGAATCTGCCTCCAGAAGCCCTATAGGCCACTCTGAGAACTTCTCCAGCCATTGCATCCCTACCCAACCCGGGGATTAAAAGCCTTTCTGCCTCCCCCAGGCTGGCAAATGTCCCAGTTGCACTGCGTTCTGGGGAGGATCGAGTCTGGGAAGGTAAGGAGCAGGCCTTTAACACATTGCTACCCTCGGACCTTCAATCCTTCACTTTAGGGAACATCATGGGCCCTTGTCTGCTGTGAGTGCCTCAAAGAAGGAGCAGGGCACAAGGCTGAAGAGGCACCTGGATCGAGGACTGATAAGGAATATGTCTGCTGCCCCCAAATTCTACAAGAATGGCAAGCAGGTGGCTGTTGAAGCAGAAAACCGCAGTGAGTATCTTTGGCTGGCTAAGGAACCATAGTTGAGGGAGCATGAGTAATTCTGTCAGCATCCCTGTCTTGAAATTGCAGTGTGACTGTTGGTAATCACTCATCACACCAATGTTAGGAATTGAATGCTTTGGAGAAATGGCCAAGGTCGTTGCTTATAATTTATTTAGGTAGACTTTTGTTGTTGAGTGGTAAGTTTGTTGTTTTGAGACACTGTCGTGGTAGTTAGCCCAAAGTGTTCTCATACCCATAATCCTCCTGCATCATCCCCCCTCCCCGTGGCGATTTACTAGAAAAAGAAAGCTTACCCCAGAGCTGGGAAAGGTACATAGGACGATAAAGCCTCCAGATGGGGCCGGGATATTTGGAATGACGGTGCCAGTGAGACTTATCTAAGCTGAGCCTGGTGTTTTACAGATGGCAAGGAGTTCACTGTGCACAGGAGTGAGGCCAGGCCCCACAAACGACTGCAGGAGGTAAGGAGACTCTGTTGCTTTATGGGAGGTGCTTCCAGAAGCTGCTTCCCAGACCCCCTGTACTGTGCCCTGATGACATATGTTCCACCCCCAAATCTACCATGACTTACCATGTGACCTTAAGATCCACTGCATCTTCCTGAATTTTTGTATGTACTGAGCATTAAAGGTAAGCCTCGATGATCTTCAGGGTCTCCAAGGTCTGATGTCCTAAGTTGCTGTGCTCATCCTACAACATGCTCATCTCTCCTCTTGTCATGGTTGGCTGGCGTCCAAATTCCTACTGTCATCTCTACTCCAGCAGGGAAAATTTCAAGGAACTCTGATGCGTAGCCAGCCTCGAGAACATTCAGTTCTGTCCTATACTCCAGTGACCTTGGAGCAGCAACCAGTGATTTCTTTTTCCCGGGAGCCTCGCGGTCCCTCTGCCAGGCCCCAAAGGTGAGTTGAGTAAGGACCTAGAGTCAGCTGTCTCTCCTATTATTCCATGTTCAACGCTGGTTAGTGCCACGGGAGGTAGACAAATAGGAAAGGAGAAAGAGGAAGAAAGGAGGAGGAGAGGAAGAAGAAGGAAGGCAGTACCTCAGAAGGAGGAGTGGAGGAGAGAGGACACTCGGGCTTGAGAGTTCCTAACTTGAGGGTTTGGATAAGTGATTTCATCTTTCTAAGAATATGTTTTCCAGTAGCCACTCTGGGAAAACAGTCTACACTTACAAGATTGACAAGAGAGCTAGAAGAAGACGTACCCCATAGTAAGCCTTCAATATGCCTGGGCTGTTCCTCCATATTACAATAGATGGACGTGAGAGAAGGTTCTGGTGGAATTTGGGGTCATGATGGGGAGGGCCATAGAGGCCTAGAAGGATGCTAAAGGCAGCAGAGAAAACTTCCTAGGGAAGAACCTGGCTTGTCCCTTCACTGTGGGGTTTTTCTCCCTCTCACTGGCGGCTCAGTGGGGGTGGGGGGAGGGAGACAGAGTCACAATGAGTTTCCCAGGAAGCAGACTCCCGGAGACCAGCATGGAGGGGCAGATCTGGTTTAATGTGAATGTTCACTGGTATATATGCATACATTACACAATCAGCTAAGGTCAGATCGAGTTACTGTCCAATCAGTCCGAATGGCACGCAGCCTGTGTTATGTGAGGGTCTGGGGGCGGGGCAGTATGTCCAGGCAGTGTATCTGCAGACAAAGGACAGGAAGCAGGTAATGCCCTAGGTTTTGACGCCAAATTAGAAGGTGTCCAGTTAGCTGGGACTCCATTATGAGTCATCTGGTGTTCCAGAGACTCAGGCCTGCTCAAACAGCCACAGGAGGTGTTGGTGGGTCCCGTTGCCTGTCTTTTAGTGATACCATCTGAACAGAGACTGACCCCTCACTTCATAACCAGTGGGGACTGAGCAAAATGGAAGCAAGAGCCAGTCCCTGACAAAGGAGGGACTCACATCTTGCCAGCTGCTTTGCAGATTAGAGGATAGTCACTTTGGATTCTTCGTCATCTTCATTGTAGCCCTGGGAAAAAAGATCTGGTATAAATTAGTGTCTCAAGAAAAATATAGACGTTTTCAAAGGAAACAGGCCAAGAAGGTGCCTAGGTGAAAAGGACTAACATTTTCGAGTCATTCAGATCCCCCGAGCCTGGTTTGCAAACCCCTGGTCCTCCAAGTGTTCTGGTAGTAGGTTTCCACCAGAGGGTTTAATCCCCTGGCCTCTCCTCTCCTTGTTTCCAGATTCTCAAGTGTGATCCTGCAACCCCGTGCCACCCCTGGCCCTCTTCTACTGCAGCCACAGGTCCTGGCAAAGTAGTGGGGTCCAGGTCCCCGGGAGGGAATGAGCTTAGTGGATGGGAAGAGCAAAAGGTCTTGGGGTGGGGGTGGGTGCTCAAGGGAACTGGGCACTTTAAAGGGGCACCGTGCTGGCGGGAGGAGGTGTGGTTTCCCGGCTGCCATTATCGAATGCCATTTCCTTTGCAGGTCCCTGATGCCACCAAGCAGGACACTGTTGCTGCTGCCTTAGAGTGGCAGAGGAAGCTGGAGGCTGCTGAGGCTCTGCTGGCCCTGAAAAACTCTTCTCAGGTTCCTCCTGATTCTGCCTCTCTGCAACAGCGTGCCAGCATGCCAGGTAGCTGCCTTCTTTAAGATGGGACATGGGGTTGGGGGAGTTGGGAAATTGGAAGGGTTGTGGTAAACTGGTTGTACCTGGGAAGCTGGATTTTGGGTCAGACACTTCAGTTCCTCAGTCTGATGTGCTAGGTGGTCCTCAGGGGCTTCTCAGTGACTCTTCAAGGGTTTCTGCTCAACAGCAAATGGCCAGGAGCTGAAGTCAAAACAAAGTGCCACCACCAGCACAGCAACGACAAAAGACCCCTGTAGATTGAGGCTTCCCCGAGGTGGCCAGGTCTTCTTGGAGTTCAGGATCTTATCAAGTGGGAGGACTAGAATCAAGTATATGACTCCCAGCCCAGGACAATGTCTCCAGGCCACTGTAGGCTGAGGACTACCAGGAGGTTCTGGACAGGGGATAAGGGTCCGGAATGGAACTGAGATCGTGCTGACAACTTCAGAGTGTCAGCCTCCCTTGTGGATGGGAAGCCTGGCTGCTCCCCAGTCTGAATGTTTCCAGTCACTCTCGCTGCTCCATCCAGTCGTGAACTCAGAGGAGAATTACATAGTTGGGTGGGGGGCGGGTCTGGAAGGGAAGGCTGAGCCCTGATAAGAAAACAAAACAAAGACCTTGATGAAGTGTGTTAGTGGGAAACAACTTGGGGTGAATGAAGCTGGAGACTTGCTTCTCACAGAGGTCTGGCACAGTGGGCGATGCAGGCTGGGCCAGCAAACTTGGGGGAGGGGTGTAAGGAGATGTAGCACATCCCTGACACAGGGATGTGTAGCCCCTAGAGTGACTGAAAGGATTGGGGGCTGTGGCTGAGAAACTGGAGCGGCAAATAAGGGGGTGTGTCTGTTCCTGGTTTCAGTGACAAATCTCCGATTGGGTGGGACACCCAAGTCTGAGGGGCTTGCTGGGTGGTGACATGGATGTAATCTGGCTCTGGCTTTTGCTCTTTAGGTCCTGCTGGAGACAGAGGACTGCAGCCTCCTAGTCCCTACCTGCCACCGCGGCCGGCCAGCTCTGTCGCACTTACTGGACATCTGGAGTGCATGTCCTTCCTGACCTGAGAGCCCATAGTGGGAGGCCTGACTAGAACACTGCCTGTTTGGTATCCTGTTTCATGTCTAAAATGACTAACGTTTTTTAAATTTTTTTTTTATTTTTGAAATAAGTTCTCATGTAGCCAGCCCGAACTTGGACTGAGTATATAGCTGACGATGACTTTGAACTCCTGATTTTTCTGCCTCCGCATCCCAAGTGCTGGGATTACAGGCATTTAGCACCGTGCCTGGCTTTTTTTTATTAGTATTATTTTAAGTGTTCAGGAGTTTTATAAGCTTTCAGATCCTTTTTATGATGTAGGGCATATACTTGACTGAGGGTCAATGTTGCTCCTCTATTCATTATCCCTTTGGAATAATTGCTTTATTTTATATGCTTCTTAGAAAAACAGTATTGTGTGATCTAATGTGATCAATCAATGGGATTCTGAGTGGGTTTGTATGCCAGTATTTTCATTTGTTCTGTGATTGTAGATACACTGGCACACTCCTGTATGTAATCATCCATGTGGAATCATGAAGACTTTTCACTCCGCATCAAGGCATGTGTGTGTGTGAACAAATAATAAACATGTGTTGTAGGCACTGAAAAATATGAGTTGTTTTTTAAAATATCAAGGAGGATTGTTTACCTTCACCAAGCCCCAAGTTAATGAATCATTTATTTTTTTTAAATTAATGATTGAGTGAAAATTCCAAACCTTGGTGTAGCAGACTTCGGAAGGCTTTCTCAAAAGTGCCCTTATTGAGTAATTGATAGGAGCATTTTTCAAGCCTGCATATTCTGAGTCTTTGATTGATGGTCCAAACACATGAACTGCAGGCCTCGCCAGGCAGACAGCTTGATCTAGACTTTTTATTATACTTTTACTTCCTTTCTTCTGTGCCTCGTTTAAAAAATCAGGGTCTTACTATGTCGTGCAGGCTGGCCTTGAATTCACTGTGTACCTCAGGTTGGCCTCCAAAGATCTTGTGATCTTCCTGCCTCAGCCTCTCAAGTGCTAAGATTATAAGTATGCTTCACCATGTCTGGCTTCCTGCTTCTGTTTTTAACGACAAGTTTGATGATGATGATATCCAATCATCACAATTCCTTTGTCTTCTGAGGCTCTGAAAAGTCAAGATTCTTATATTCTCCATCTAAAGGCCGAGAAATAAACACGTGAAATCAACAATGATTTGAGGAATTAAGCTGGGCTGAAGTCCATCTCATACCCTCTTTCTTCCCATGATCCCAAAGTTCATTATCCTCCAGTGACAGATGAATATGTCCCCATGTTTCTGCAGTACTATTTGGTCCAAGCCTCACCTTGGTTCTACCGTTGAGTTGGGTAAAGGGAGAAATAGATTTTGGTTGAAGGATGTGGCACAAGAAGAGGGAAGAGAACAGAAATAATACAATAGATATTTGAGGAAGGAAAGAGACTAAATTCCTTGGGCCCTATCATTTTTCTGAGGCCTATTGTCTTTGTATCAGGTTTTCAGACCTGATGACACTCTCCCCTTCCAGTGTTCTATAATTAAAGATTCTCTATATGGCATATTTTAGTTCTCTTTGAATATCTGTGTAAATGTTCAATGTTAAGCTTTCAGGTATGTCTCTCTTTGTCATGTACTGTCACAGTTCACAGTTTAAAAACCTCCCCTCTGCTATATTTTGACTCTTGTATGTTATATGACATCATTGGTTATGTCTGAACATATCCATCATTTCAGAGCATCTCTAGAGTGGGTCAATTTGAACAAGAAGTGTTAAGATAAAAAAAATCTATGCTGTTATACAGGCCAAGTACAGGCTTTCTAGGGGGAAGGGAGATTTAAGGGGAATTCTCTGTGTTGTCTCATTTACTGAATTCACAGTACCAAAATCTCAATGAACTCCCAAGTTGGAGATTTTTTTTAAACTAGTACTTTAAGTTACCATTTGAACATGAACAATAGTGAGATAGTGAAAAATAGTTAGAGACTGATGAATTTGACTACACATATTTCTTCATTTACAGTATAATGGATGTGGTGAGCTTATAAATTTTGTATAATAGTAATTGCCTGTATTTAGGAATGGCTCTCAAGCTCCTGAAAATTTAGCAATTAACTGTTCTAGTCCAGGAAGAGCCAGTCCCAGCAGCCCACTGCTTTTCATCTTTGTCCAAGAAGACTATTCAAAGTAGATCCAATTAATGTTGTATTGCTATAAAGGTGAAGAACAGATTAAAGCCTTTGGGAAGGTAGTATTTTAATAACAAAAGGATTCTTGGAAATGTTAAGCAGAATGTACAGTCAAAGTCATTTATGTTGAAATACACGTTAGGGTACAGAGTCGAATGTTGCTGTGTGCTTAGTTACAATAGAAATAAACATCTTTATTTTAGACTGGCTTAGAACTACTTCAGGGTTGATGGATAATGGGCACAGTAACTCACCAAACATCCATACTATCTTTGTGAGGCAAGATGCTACTGTTTTTGTGTCACAGTGATATTAATGTATTTTGTAGTTTTGGTAAATCTGCTAGCAATCCCTGCCTGCTCTCCAACTGACAAAATCAATTTCACATGGTTTCTAAACAGATGAAGATTTGTAAGTGTTTACCCAGTGAAAGTGAGGTGCATAAGGCAGACTGAGATAGGTGGCAGCAAAATATGTGGATTAAAACTATATTGCACACAACAGTGCACAGTTCACAAAAACACAAATGGCATCACAGACATGAAGTCCCTGAGACACTTGCACATCCCCGAGTGGAGAATGACAATGATAGGAGATCAATGAGTAACCAGAGGGAGGGCCCTTGCCGAGATGCAGAGGGTGCTGCAGCAGATCAAGAATGGGCTTCTGTTCAGTTCCCAAGCCATAGGATGTAAGAAAACAGGCAACAGAAAAAGTTTGAATTGGACTTCTTCATCCAGAATCGGTACCAGGAAGCTGAATGTCTGGCAGGGCTTCTGGCACCCTTTTGAGGCCAACCAAACAAAGGAATGGTCCCACGCCTTCCAAGGGTGATGGCCTGTCTCTACTGTACAGCGGGGAGCAGGGAGGGGCATGGCCCAAGCACTGGAGCATTCCCGGGCATCTCAGGGGATCTTAAAAACTTACTCTCTGATGAGACATTAAGGTGACTGTGGGCAGGGCTGCTGCCTTAAACCTGCGAGAAGTGGCAGCTGAACAGCTGCTCTGGGAGGATTGAAAAAGCCAGCCACAACTTTAATAACGTTTACAAGTGAGTTCTGTTTTCTTCTGCTACTACTCACTCAAGAACTTCTCTGCAGTTGACACTTTGGAAAACTCTATAACATAAATTCTCACTGCAAGTTAAAAAAAATGCAATTTAAAACATTTTAACTTGCCCAGGTCTAAAACAATCTTGAAACCGTAAAGATATGTTGAGAAAAACTAGACTTAATAACAGCTGCATTTTTCATTACACAAAAGATATACCTCTACGCCAAAAGCATAAAAAGCTCACGATGAATAGATGATGAACATAGTTTGAAATACCTGCTAAATTGGTTTAAAAAAATGCCCATCAGGTCTTCAACTCTGTTCTGTAGTTCATTTCCTGTCACTGAAATTTCATACTCATGTCTAGCTACACAAAAGTGGAGATGGTAACCCAGAATTTCCTCAGCTTCCTGTTCCTCCCCATGACTACCATCTCCAGGCTCTATGTGATTGTGCAGCCATGGTTTGTAAGCCCGATGTATATCCTGTCTCCCTGGTCTCCCTCGTTGTCTTGAACCCTGTTTGTCGGCACCTTCCACTGCATCAGAGGGCTGGAATCCCATGGTTGATACTCATTGGGTCAGCACACACAGTAAGTGTGAGCCTTTGTCTTTGGTGGGGATAACATTGTTGGGCCTGTTCTCTTGTTATTTTCTTCACTCACTATTTCAGTAATTCTGCAGGTGATTGTGTGGAGTATCTCTACGATGCAGAGAACATCTGAGATGCTTGATGTCTCATTCATACGAAGGCCTTAAAACGAAATTCCACAAAAGGCTGAAACACCTGCTGTTTCCAAATCCTGTTCTTTCAGTGATGTAAGACTTCATAGTCTTTCCAACTCTACACCAAGAAGGTGCTGCTTTGGTTTGCATGTGTGTGTGTGTGTGTGTGTGTGTGTGTGTGTGTGTGTGTGTGTGTGTTACATACATATGTGTGAATATACTTGCCTTTTTATGTGTTGTATGCATCTGTGTGGGTGTTCTTACCTGTGTATGTTTGCATGAGTGTGTGTGTGTGTGTGTGTGTGTGTGTGTGTGTAGGTCAGAGAGCAACACTGAGTGTTTTGTCCTGTCATTCTCTATCTTAAAAGATATTTTTGCTGAGTGGTGGTGGCACACACCTTTATTCCCAGCACTGGGAGGTAGAGGCATGTGGATCTCTGTGAGTTCGAGGCCAGCCTGGCCTACAGAGTGAGTTCCAGGATGGCCAGGACTACATAAAAAAACCCTGTCTTGGAAAAAAACAAAAAAGTATTTTATGTGTATGAATGTTTTGCCTGCATGTATATATGCACCACATGTGTGCCTGGTGCCCATGGAAGTCAGAAGAGGAGGTAGGATCTCTGGAACTGATGTTTTGGATAGTTGTGAGCTACTGTGTGGGTTCTAGAAACATAACCTGGGGCCTCTGCAAGACCAGACAGTGCTCTTAACTGCTGAGCCATCTCTCCAGCTCCTCCACTTTTTTTTGAGACAAACTCGCACTAAACCTGAAGCTTGCCATCTAGGCCAAGTTAGTTGACCAGTAAGCTCCCAGTCTTCACCTGTCTCCACCACCAGCCCTGGGGTTACAGACAGATGCCATGGTTTTTGGATTTTACACCTGTACTTGGAATCTGAACTCAGGTCTGCATGCTTGTACAGCAAGCTCTCCATCCTCTGAGCCATCTCCACAGCCCTAGGTTAGGGCTTGTGGTGTACAAATTGGTCATTCCTCTTCTTCAACACATCTAACTTTCAACGTTGACCATCAATATCATGGGCCAATGAGCTGAACAGACAGTTCTCAAAAGAAACATGGGGCCAATAAATATCTTCAAAGTGTTCAACATCCACAGCCATCAGAGAAATACAAATTAAAACTACTTTGAATTTCCATTTCATCTCAGTGAGGATGGTTATCATGAAGAAAAAAATAACAACAAATTCTGATGAGACTGTGGGTGAAGGGGATCCTTGCTGTTAGAGGGAGTAGAAAACTGCCGCTGTCACCATGGCAATCAGTGTGGGGGTTTCTCAAAAAGCTAAAAGTGAAAGTTCGTATACCCCAACTGTATCACTTCTGGGTGTGTCCCCACTATCACTGAGACACTTGAACATCTATGCTCACTGCTCTTCTCTTACACAATAGTGAGGAAATAGAACCAGTGTAGACCGCCATCAGCAGATTAATCGAGAATGAAAATATGGTACATACACAATTGGATTTTATTCAGCCATAAAGAAAAATAAAATGCACGGGAAAGTGGATAGAGTTGGAAAATATTATACTCGGTGAGGAAATCCAGCACAGAGATACAGTATCTTATGTAACTCTCATATGTGGATCCTGACTTTTTAAATTTATGTATGTATATTTTGGATTAAGTGTAGTTAGAGATCAGGAAACTATAAAGGACCCATGAGAGGGGGGATTGAAGCATGAAGGAAGTGGATAAAGATGAGAACACACATGATATGAAAGTGGGAAGGGAGTACTGGGACTAATGTACAAGTGGAGAGAGAGGCAAGGAGATGGGGAAGAGTAAAAAAGAACTAAACACTTATGGGAAGGCCACAAGGAAAACTGTTCCTTTACATTCATTCAGATTATAAAAAACACAATAATAATAGCTTTGGGGTTTAACTATTTTATTGTTCCTTAAAGTTTTTTTCTGCTGTGATATGATTTTTTTTTTAAAGAAAGGATCTCACCAAATCCTGATATGGCCTACATGGGTCTAAAAATTGCCATCTTCCTGACTTGAACCTTCAGAACAGCTGGGATCACAGGCATGCATTCCCATGCCAGGTTTGTTGTGATCTTCTTTTCTTTTCAGATTTCTTTTTATTTTATATGTATGACTATTTGCCTGCGAGCACGCCCGTGCATGCTTGCGTGCATGCGTGCATGCATGCATGCGTGTGGTGTGTGTGTGTGTGTGTGTGTGTGTGTGTGTGTGTGTGTGTGTGTGTGTGTATACACGCGCATGAGTGCGCACGCGCATGCACCACATGCATGTCTGGTTCCTGCAAAGACCAGAAGAGGGAGTCGGAACCCCTGGAATTGGAGTCACAGATGGTTGGGAGCTACTATGTTGGTGCTGGGAATTAAACTGGGTCCACTCCAAGAGCAGCAGGTGTTCTTAATCTCTGATCAATCTAGCCAGTGCCTGCTCTGATCATCTTCTGTGTTGCCTATGGGATACCATCTGGGCACCTCTTCCTGTACCACTGACCATGGTACAAAGACTATAGAAGCAGCAAAGAGGGACGGAGGAGCCTGGGCATTTCTTCTTTCGCAGTCTTGCTACTCATATTTGAGATCATGATGGCTGAGGCTGGCTGTAGCAGCTGGAGCTTCAGACATTTTGTTAAGGTGGGCAATTACTGCTGGTAGAGGTGCCCAGAGATCTCGGGGGTCTGCTCTGTGCCCTTGGTACTGGTCTATAGTAATTTTCAAAATAGATTTTGTAGCCTACACTTGAACATCATGGTGAAGAGCACACAGTGAAGCAAACTGGCTCATTTATGGTCAGTAGAAAGGAGTGGCTACAAAGACAAACATATCTGCCAAGGGTACCCTTTAAAAGGCCACTTCCTTCAACTAGTCCTTAACCCTTTCTACTACCTCCCGATAGACAATTGAAGTATTGCCTTAGTTTGTTTCCCTGTTGCTGTGATACAATAACCTGACCAAAAGAACTTCAAGGAAGAAAAAGATTTATATCAGCCCAGAGCTCAACATACAGCCCATCACGGCAGGGAAGTCAAAGCAACAGGAGCTTGAGACAGTTGGCCACACCACATCCATAATTAGGAAGCATAAAGAGGTGGTTGTTGCTTATTTCCTTTGTTGTGGGATATTCACCAGAGAAGACTGCTCAGACCGCGTTTAAGCCAATAGAAAGTCTTTATTAGCTGTCCAGCTACTATATTTGGTGGGTGGGATTCCAGTGTAGCACTGAGCCTTTCTCAGGGTAAGTTTTTATGCACAAAAACCATGTTCTGGGTTGACATACTTCAGTTAACAAGAAGAAGTTAGCCAGAAGCAGAACTACAGAAGCCAAAAAGCAAGGTTGGTACATTTAGAGACTTTCCCAGAGTTATGGACTTTGGTGGATTAGGTCTTTGTTTTAGTTTTGGCAGGTGATGCTGTTCACATGCTGAGTTTTACAGCCTGAATGGTACCTCCATTATGGATTCAGTTGTGCTTAGGTCTCAGGGCCTACTAAGGTCTGGGGTCCTGTTACACCTTTTTTTCCCTTTATACAGTCCAGGGTGCTGGACAGGGAAAGGTGCTGCCTACAGTTGGCAGGACTTCCCGTCTCTATTAACGTAATCAAGATAATCCCTCACAAGCATGACCAGAGGCCATTTCTTAGGTGATTCTAGATTCTGTCAAGTTAATAACACTGGCCATCACACATGTATGAACAATCATCATCATCATCATCATCATCATCATCACAATAAACATAATAATCACAGTAATAATAAACATAAAAATCCAGAGACCTCACAAGTCACTCACCTCTCAAAGGTTCTAGCTCTCAATTCAGCTGCCCTGAGGACCAAGCCTTCATTCGATACATGAGATCTTGGCAGACATTTAAAACATCCAAACTGTAACATTTCTCCATTATTCTTTTGAATTACTATATTAATGTTTGTCTCACAGGGGCAATTAATAGTTTAACTTAAAAGAATTTAGCTCAGGTTAATAGAAATTAAATTTCAATATTATACATAAAAGCCTAGAATAGAACAGTGGTTCTCAACCTTCCTGATGCTGCGACCCTTTAATACAGTTCCGCATGGTGTGGTGACCCCAACCATAAAATTATTTTATTGCTACTTCATAACTGTAGTCTTGTTACTGTTATGAATAGTAATGTAAATGTCTGATATGCAGGATATCTGATATGTGAGCCCAAGGGGGTTGAGACCCACAGGTTGAGAACCACTGCTCCAGAGGAACAAAACTAGTTGAATAAGTATGTATTAAAAAGAGGTTTATTGGATTGGTTTACGCAATTCCATCTGGGATAGTCTGACAACGGCTGTCTTTATACTAGAGAGGCGGAGAACAGTTGTCTGTTCAGTTCATGAGGCTAGGAACCTGTGATGGCTATTCTTGGTTGTCTACTTAACTATAACTAGAATGAACTATAACCCAGAAATGGAGGGCACAACTGGGATCCAGAGCTCGAGGCTGGAAGACACACATCTTTAATCCAGATCTTGAGGCGAGAAGGCACACCTTTAATCTGGGCCACACCTTCTGCTGGAAGCCTATATAAGGACAATGGAAGAAGGAAGAGTGTGTTCTTTCTCTGCTTGTCTTTACCTCCGTCAGTACATCCATTCCTTCTCTGGGATCCCGGCACACCAGCTGAGACAGCCAGCCTCATGGGGCTGAGCAGTTCCTAGATTCTTGGACTTTCCATTTACAACTAGCCACTGTTGGACTGCAGCCTGTCAGTCATTCCAATTAATTCATATATATATATATATATATATATATATATATATATAT